CAAAAAGTCGATTTCAGCAGCTAAAAAAAGCACTTTCCGTTAGGATTTGACAGAAATAAAGTTCACCATTATTTTAAGCACGTTTGAAACTACAAATTGCTGTAATAAAAGAGAGTACGAAAATTTCGTTTCAGTGGCACTTTAAAGAAAATTTCCAAACGGCAAAGACATAGCTTGACATTCAGCAAACAATTTTCTTACAATCGCGGATCTTTTAAGCCTTGAAGCAAAATAATAATTCACATGTACTCATGAATGTATTCCGTGACAAATTTTCCATGATATCAATATTTATGTTCTCATTACTTTTGTTTGTTCCTATTACAGTTGACAGGTAATTGAAACCCTCCATTTGACCCCTTAAAAATATGCATAGTCGGTCTAGACCACCAACACAGTATAACAACGATTTTCAACCTGAGGTCTTTAAGATATTGGGTTTCCGCCCTCACACGACCCGTACCAAAATCTGCAATTTATAACCTTAAGCGAGACGAGAAGTCGTGCAACTCCGAGCCTTTGTCATGAGAGTTCCCCTCCCCCCGGTAAAAAGCATGTCAAGACCAAAACTGTCTGATTTCTATACCCAATCCCAGACTAAACTGCCTGAAAACCATACTCTTCACAGCGGCACATACCTATATGGCTTATTTATGATGTACCCCCGGGTGTTAACTTGGAGATTTACGTAGTGAATCTCTGACACCTTGTGCTTAGTACATGCTTTACTACACTAAGAACTTTGACCAGAACAAGTAAGATTCCTTAGCGTACTGGTCACTTCAAGTTATTAACTGATCTGACTGACTGATGGAAAGGAAGGAATTTGACAAGGAGGGAACACATGACAGCCTAATGAACACCAAAATGTAAACAGGGTCATTCCATTGAATTACTCAGGTATCGAATGTGATCGATAACCCATAATAGCTGCCCAGGGTTAGACAGTAATCTTTTAAATGGTGTTAAAATTTCCTTTTCTCCTATTGGTTGATAATATTGGTTATCTACTTGTTTTATCTTGCAAAACGTATTGCATTTTAAAGGCACCAAAAGACAAAATTTTAACATTTCCAATAAATAACCTACTAAATTTCGTTTTTCATTTCCCAATTAATTGTTGGCCAACATTACAAGCATTCACACCTCAGGAGCTCTCAGAGAGGAATTTTGTTAGCATCTAAGACTTTTTAAGGTGATTTTTTTAAGTAAAAGGTTATGGGAGAGATTTCTATTTTTAGTACAGAAAAGGCATATTTCGTGATCTGTTGCGGACCCGGTTACTTTTATTTTTGAAAATTTTCTATCTCTAAATCATTCATGACGATGCACTGATCTCGATCTCAACAAGAATTTCACTAATGCGTCACACTCATAGTGTAAACATTTTTGAGACCGCACGCCTTTGTACTTTTATAACGCTAATCTAATACTCTCTCCACAATAAATTGCGCGTATTCCAAGATTTTAAGGCATTTCCTTTCTCTAAGGCGATACATTATATAATGGATATAACCCTCTTTGAAGAAAAATCCTTAAAAGTTACTCAACTAGTATTGGCCACCATCCAGAGTAACAATGGAGGTGATAATTAATTGGAGATGGTTCTTGATATGGATTTTATAAGTGTTTGAAACTTTGTGTGCTTTAGGGCTATCCTACATGTATATGTATTTGTTGTGTATATAATTCTCTCATTTTCAGGTTGATAACATCGTTTGAGAAGCTAAAGTAAGCAATGATAATGATGATGATGATGGCTTCTCCATCGCCGATCGCTACGCCGCGAACGATAGAGAGAGTAGCGCAGTGTTCGGCGTGGGATCTAGGAGAAATCAACAGCTGCCCGCAAATGATAGCCTAAGGACCAGGGGCTTGAGTAACAATAAGGAGCGTGTTGGAGCTGTGTGCGAAAGCGGAGAACACACTGCGGTGTTTTTATCATTGAGCAAAAATAACTGTCTGCGAAGTGCTTAGGAATCAGGAGTAGTCATGAAATAACACATGGACAATACTTGTGCAAATTCGTTGAACTCTGCTCATTGTCCTGTCCTGTTGTGAGACTGGGAGCTTTAGCTGGCATGGAGTCACCGGTCCCTAAAGCTAAGTAAAACATGGCATTGCCAAATTGAAATGCTATGGCGCGGTGTTCAATTTCCAGCCAGTTTGTTTTCTCCTCCCTTTTCAGTTTATTTTCTTAATTACGTTCTTTCATTTTCCTTCCTTCTCAAATTTGATGTTGAGGCCCATGACCGAAACAAGATGTTGACAGACGTTCCTTTGCTTGTCACGCAACATTCTGAAAAGAGTGCTTGAGCGCGCGTGAGAATCTTAAATTAAAGGCTTTTGAAGCCACAATCCAAATCCTGCTACATTAAACCAATTAGCATCAACTCTTATGAGCCAAAACAGGAAACGAAAAAAAAAAAAAAAAAAAAAAAGAAAAAAAAGAAGAGGAATCAATTTTCCCTTGTTTCCGACCGTAAACAAAAACTATGTTGCTTTGGACAACATGACCCAGACAGAAAAGATCATCGTATACAAGTAAACAACAGCGCATTTATAGCGGCAACTGTTTCATATAGCGCTTTAACTCATTCCTTCATTATCTTCAGCCGTAATTTTAAATTAATTTGAGTCGATGTGCTACCTCACCTTCACAGTTGTCGCATTAAGTTGATAACAGACGCATGCCTCAAAAATTAAAGTGACTTTTGGTGCAATGCCAGACAACGAAATGACGAGAAGCAAACAGGGTGTGTTAAGTCTGCAAGCAATTAATATAAAAAATCCTGCTAGTTCGTATATAATGACAGCATAGCGATCGTTTCACACGGTATTTTTAACTTAAAGGTCGCTTTTTTTCCGAAGTTATTTGCAACCTCATCATGTCTATAGCGGCTCCCTCGTGTGATAAGTATTTATTACCAACGGAAACGGTTTTAGCAAACATGTAGAGTTTCTTCTTCTATCATCATGTATTTATAAAATTGCGTGCAAAAGAGAAGCTGAAACGAACACACATCTGGAACGGAAAGGTCACGCGATAGTAAAAGACATATTCAACTTTTTGACGGGAGGTATAAGTTTTAAAAACGACTGTCGAATCGAATCCTTCTCGATTTGCCCACCACCACGTTCAAACGGCAACTGTATAACACCCAGCCAGCCAACATCTGTGAAATAAATCCTCTCCATTTTATTGGTCTCAGTAGACAAATGTAAACATTATTTTTTAACTTGGCGTGTTTTCTTTTGGGATCCTAGCAAATTGTTTTTCAACAGATCAAAGTAAAATGCTACAAATAAAGGAGAAGAGAGATGGAGCGATAAATTCATATTGTAGGGTCGGAAATAACCGACGTTGCTTTTTTCGATTGACTTCATGCCATACAGTGGCCCAAAGGTGTTTCCACGGAAAAATCTAAAAATTGCACCTTCCGATAAAGATCTTTTCTTTTATTCGAACGTTCACGTAATCCAGCCTTATTTTCGATCAAGCTACTCAGAAACAGAGATCCAAAAAAGGAAAAGAAAAAAGGGAAAGGAACGTCGACCTTTTAGATTTGTGTTTGCTTCCGATATCTCCAGAAGAACATTCTGAACGCCTTTTGAAATTCGCAGAATGCGCGTATACGTCACGCAATAACACAAGAATGAAAAACTGCCTTCATTATGCAATAAACGTTCTTTTAACGATAAATGACAATTCTGTCCACGTCTACTAATCAAGATGAAATATTCGATATAGAGCTGTATTTTTTTCCTCGTTTAATTCCCATTGAACACGCTGTGTTCGAATCTGACCCGCCACGGGCATGCGAATTGACAACCACGCGTATTAATCTTTAAATCCTGTGCGGGAGTGCTCTGTCGATGAATCTGGACACTGTATCTCTTTACAATCCAATCTCACAAATTGAAGTAAACATAACGAGAGAATGCTCTGGTCTGCGCTATCGTATCAAACCATCTATATGTACAAGTTAAAAGCTTGGTGCACGAAAAGTGAACAACAAAAGCAAGAACACAACGTTTCCTATCACACTGCCACAGCTTTGTCAGCAAGATCACTGACTGCATGTGTGTGTATTCCCGGCATTAAAATGAACCAACTAGTTCTATAGAAGTACCTGAAACCGCGTGAAAGAGCGCGTAACACAGAAGTATCGCCACCAAATCCCTCATCTTTGAGACATGAAAATCCATCATCCACAATTTAGACTAATCATCTCTTGGAGGGTCGGCCGCGAACTGCACCGTCGAACAAACAAGAAAGGAGTTTTATTGACGGCTTTCTTTGCCTAAGATCAGATTTCAATTTGACACCTTAAGTTAAAGGGGAAACATGTGACACGAAAAGTGCGAGGGATAGACCATTTTTTCTTTTCGGTCCTAGCACGCTATGCACACCATAATGCATGCATGTACATGGACTACATTTCCAAACACCCACCAGTAACACCTTTCCGTGAGAGAAGTTGCTAGTTTGAGCTCTTGAACGAACTAAAGAGAGAAGCTGAGATGTTCCCCTAGGGGCCTAAAGGATTGGACATTGACCCCCGTCCATAAGACGAACCCCATCTTTCCTCAAGACGTTCCCACTAATTTTTAAATTCCCCCTTCCTCAGGGGTTAAAGATTCAATCAACACGGGGGCGATCGTTGCAACATCATACCAAAGTTAGTTGGAAAGTGTGCAGGCTCGCCAGCGAAGGGTATTTTTAATTTGTGTGGTAACGAATGAAGGTTCACAGGCATTGTGCGACACTGAGACATTGAGAACTTTTTACGACACTGAATTTGAAATCATCTTTAGCAGAATCATAGTCTATGTTCTAACCAATAAAGTTCTACGAAAGTGTCTGTGCCAATACAGTGATTGTACTGTGAAAGTATGCACAATTTTAATTAGCGGAAGTCACGTTCTCAGTTCGATCGCATTACAGTGCCCGTGGAGCCCAGTGGCACCACAGATAACTTAGTAGATAACCTATCCAGTCTTAAAACCAGTCTGCATTCTTCGTTCGTAAAGAAATGTCCATACTAAGGCCGTCTCTACACGAAGAATCTATCATTTTTGTCTGCTGTTTTAAATCTTGTCGGCAAGTAGTTTACTGTGAGAAAGTGGGTGTTAATATGGACTCCAAACAAAAGACTGTCAGGCGTCCAGGCGACTGCTTGATGCATTCTTGGAGATATCTTGAAATGACACTTTTTTACAGCGCGACCTGGCGTGATAACCTCTCAAAATCCTGACACAGATTTTCCCCTCGTAAAAAGTGGACGAAAATGCCATTTAAAACCAAAAGTTCATAATAATTATAAACTGCCAGCAAAAAAAAAAAAAAAAAAAAAGACACATCTCGTAATTCAACTCTCGTGAAATGGTTTTCATTTGCAGCAGCATGTCTTGAACTTCAACTATGGGCTCCCTGCTTTGTTTTCTCACAAATGCGTCTTTAGTGTCTTAGTGAGATCGTGCTGGCGCGGGAAGCTTACCGTATATCACTGATATCAACTTTGACACCGTGAGAGGTATCGCGACTTAAGCTGTTTTGCAATCACTTGGAACACAAGGGTTGCTGTTTTGTAAAGACCGTTCAAACTGTTGACAGAGATTCCATGAGAGCAACTTTCATCAGGAAAGACATCAGTTACAAGGACACAGTGAACGAACAATAACCAAATTATAAATTAATAGAGCGATTGTGTTTTAACGAGATGCAGAAGTCTGACCTGACAGAATCAAGAAGGCGGGACGAGGGTGTGGGAGGGGCGAGGGCTGAAACGATCAGAGATCCGATTTGCTGATCAAAGTTACAAAGAAGGTTTCAAAAATAGGCACAAACAGCTAGTTATTTTCTTTTTCTTTGTACCGATTACTGTTTTGATCACATTATTTTACTTGACCTGGGTGGCTGATTTAGGATTTAATGTAACACGAGCAATAATTTTTTTTTAATTTATATAGCTTGTAAACAAGATTAAAATGCTATAATATATAAAATGCACAGCACGAACAAATGAAATCGGATCTACAGCTTGAGTTATGTAATCTTTATGTCTGCTTTTTGTCAAAGATTCTGATAATTTTTTTCCCAAAGGACAAGCGCAACAAAACGTAAAAAAGAGTTCCTACTGTGAAGCTACCTGTATTCAAGAACGAGAGTCGGGGGTACTCTGCAAGGCAACAAATGTAATCACGTTCAGCCATCCGTAATACAGAGGATGTCATTATTGTAATCTGTCGATTGCAGGAGTCGTCACTTGACGGAGTGAGATACGTTGTTTCTTAGAAAGATGATGATCTTTTCATGACGCATGGTACATTGTCAGCATATTTGAGATGGAAATTTTTTCATCCAAATCAGATGTTTCGGATCAGGAGATGTCCGAATAAGGTATTCAACTGGTCCTCTAACTAGGACAAAGTCGAATCATTCCCTTATTTTCCTGGCAATCTGGAATTTTGAGTTAGCTTTAATAAAAACTTTATGGACCTTTATTCACCATATGGAGCCGCCTTTTCGATAATCACGCTATGCTCAGCATTCCTGGTACCTAAAACACCCTGCAGCAACAAGCAAACAGACAAACAAACAAACAGACAAATAGACAACCGTACAGACACCACGAATAAACAGTATGTATGCTCAGAGATGAATAATATTACATGCAGCTCAAATTCCAATATCGTTCTCAGAGGTTTTCTTTTCTGGTTCTTTACTTGCCACGGGTTTTTACTAAGCAAGACACCGTGGTCAATGAATTGGCCATTGCTCCGTCTTTACTGCAAGGATCCGTAAGGAACAGTCTGTGTAGTATCCAGGCCTACTTAAGATTTTGGAAACGTGAGAAAATCAGGCGTTTCACTGGATATATGATAAGCAGCCAGTTTAACCTCTCTCATTGCATGTGGTCTATTTTATCTGAGCAAAGAGACTTATAACATAATACTCATTTCCTATTTACCGGAGGAACACAATGTACCTTGTAAACAGAGGTGTTGAGTTCACATATTTTCAAGTAATTAGCAACGTAATAATTGATCTAGTTTGTTGATAAAGATCACGCCACCATACCACATACAGTCAGCATGCAAGCATGCATGGCATTGGATAAACAGGCAAAACTATTGTACTGCGACAGGGGTCTCTTTATGCACCCCCCTCATCCCCCGTGCTCGTGTATTTTGCTTCCTATAGTCCCAACGCTTCGAGTAAGACCTCGAGAAGCCTCTCGTTTTTCTTAGTCCAAAAACGACCTTCGCGCCGCCATGCATAAGATACAGAAAAAAATAATTCGCCTTATGACTTTCCCAAAATATCGAAAATCTACGAAACCCCTATTTAAGCAACTAAGAATACTAGGTATATTTGAGTTAAACACGTTTTTGGTTAGTCTCTTTATGTAATTACAAAGAACAAACGTATTACCAAAAAATTTTCACAATTACTTTTCACAAAATAGAGATCTACACCATTATAACAGAGGATCTGCTAAAAGACTACACATGGATTATCGCAGAACAAATTACGGGAAATTCTCGCTAAAAACCATAGGTACCAGAATATGGAATGATCTACCTGACGAAGTAAAGAACTCGCACTCATACTATAAATTCAAAAGGAAAATGAAATTGATCTTACTCAACAACTAATTGCTCGACTGTCTTAATTTTAGTTACATAAAAAAACTTGCATTAAGTCTTATCATTTTTACGGCCATGTTATTATCAGCTCTCCGTTAGATAGATATGTAGTAGAAATTATAAAACTGCAATAGATGATCCTCAAGAAATGTTTGTAAAAACTTGCTGGGATCTCCTGCCAATAAAATCAATACCATGTATTAACGAGAAATGTAAAAGGAATGAAGCGGAAAATAAATTGACTTGAATTAAATTGATATTTTTCCTGCCCAAAAACTTCGAGTCATTGCGAGTGCACTTGTTATGACCACTTCCGCCTCTGGACTTCCATAGGATTGCGTGACTGTGAGTGAGAGATGCTGAGTTTTTTCCACACTATCCTCAACTCATTTGGTTACCAAATTTATTATCTTCTCCGATGCAGGACATTCTTTACAGCGTGACAAAAATTGATACAAATGAACCAAACATTTTTGCCATATGTAGGTTGAGTTTGCTGCTGGTTTCTTCAAGTTAAAGTTTAATAGTTAATAGTTTAATAGTTCTTCTTTGTTTAACCGCCCTTTCCGGCCATGTTCATGGCTAGGGGAAGTCCAGCGCGGGGGTGTGATTGATAATAGTATTAATGCATTGTTCTAGAATGTCATAGAAAACGAGACACATGCGAACAGACTGATTTTGCATTAAAAGCTTAGAGAAACTCGCACGCTCACATGTAGTCGTATGTAACTCCCCTTTAAATTGACAAATCAACGACAGGCAAGGGCGTCTGACAGAGGACACATAATTATTTTTCGTTAATTCAGTTTATGATTTTGTCGTAATTCAAACACACGTTAACGCCCCCCGGCTGCCTTTGCTTGTCGGCGGCAGTCGAGGAAAGTTTTAGCATTTTTTGGTGAGTAATAAGGAAATCGTGATATTGGAGAGGGTACCGTCTCTGTCAGACCATGACAACTGTTGTAGCCACTAATATGCTTTTGAGTAAAGAAAACTTTCAGTTGCGTGCATCTCTACTTAGTGTTGCTCAGTCCCTCAGTGCTTTTGTTTCTTTCTCATTACGAAATCGGAACAAAAGAAAAAATGATAAATAAATTTGTGTAAGATTTGTTTCATGTCAAGGGTCAGTATGCTCGCAAGCCTGTAGCTCACTGACGTTACAATCACACTAATATACCATACTAAAGGTATTCCTAACAGTCGAAAGATATTTCTATAAACAAAAACCCATTTCATTTTCATAAAAAAAAAAAGACATTTCTCGAATAATATGATAATGATGATATAACAATAGCAATCTCAACTACTGAAAGTGAAGAATGATCATCGCAGTTAATTTTCCAATTTAAGCAATTG